GACATAGTGGCCTACATTGACTGGTTCAGCGACCTAGCATCTCTATGCCCCGGGATGGTTACCCCGGAGAGCAAGAAGATAGAAAGATACATCTGGGGTCTAACTACCCCGATCCAAGGAGATGTGCTGTCTTCTAACCCAGCCACATTCGATAGTGCTCAACGACTGGCTCAGCGGCTCATCCACCATGGAGTCCACCATGGTCTGGAATTCCCCGTTCCCGAGCCATCAAAGGGAGAGGACTATAAACGAAAGTCGGGGAACAAGAGGAAGGAGAAGCGAACAACCCAGGAAACCCCGCAGGAGCAACAAACGAGTACTATGTACGCCGCCACAACACCTGCTACTCCAGCACCTGCCGGTCGATATGCTGGAACCCTCCCGAAGTGTGGAAAATGCAACTATCACCACACCGGAGTATGCCGGGAAATGCAGTGCCTGAACTGCCACAGAAAGGGACACACAGTCCGTTTCTGCAGGGCACAGGCTCAACCGATCTCCCAAGTCCCCGAAGCTGAAGAAAATCAAGCCTGCTATGGCTGTGGTGAGACAGGACACAGCAGAGGGACTGCCCGATAACAAAGAACTCAGGAGCGGATGGACGAATTCTGATGATTACCGCAGGAGAATCAACCCCAGAGTCGTCAGCGAGCAACGGTACGTCTTCGATCTATGAATTACTTTAAAATTTTAATTTATATTTATATAAGATCAAAACTTGGGGAAAAACATTTAAAAGTAATTATAATAACTCGCTTATTGAAATAAGTCACAGTATTCAAGAGAACTAAAAGATCCATTTAGAGAAGCTATGATGGCTGAGTATGTACATCAGGGTTGTGCATAGCTAAGATTTTGCAGACCTAGAGTGAGTGATTCCGCCCTAATTCATGTTCCTTGTTTGGTTGTGGATTTGAGGCAGAGTTACTCAGTCGACTGTCTAATTCATCTTAATTATTCATAACTTGTATATGACAGTCGATCATAGTGGTACCAAGGAGGATCGTAGTATAAAGTATCGACACTAGTTAACAAAGCACTTTCACAGTATGTACTCGCTCATCGCGGTGCGATACGTAGAAGTGTTAACATCAGGGGAAAAACAGAAAGCACTAGAACGTTTATAAAGAGTACATTCTGACAGCTTCATAGCAACATTAAAGTCACCTAATAAAGCCCATGCCTTATTATCAACAACAATTCTATGTTTTCCCAGATTCTCCCAAAGAATCCTCCTCTCAATATACTAAGAGGCAGCATAAACAAAAGAGATATAAATCTCACAATTAGATTCCAAGAATCTAATAAGACAATGCATGGCCTTATTAGTGTGAGATAAAACCATCAGATCAAAGATGTTGGGATTCCACCCAATAATTATTCTAGCACCAAAAACACAAGAAGAATTATTGATACCCATTCCCACTTCCCAAACACCCTAGAACAAATTCTAGCCAACTTTAAATCTCTCACATGAGATTCCAAAATAGCACATAACCCAAGATTATTACCCGTAATCACCTCAACCACCTCTGTTTGCTTAATATTATTATTCAGACCCCTAATATTCCAAGCACCTATATTCATCATTGGATAATAATGGACTTTTTGGCATTTACCCCTTCAAATGCCTGAGACACTATTACTCCATCCTTGATCAACAACCCACTATTTTCCCCCATATTCTGATAAGATCCATCAAGAACCGTATCAGACATTTCATCCAAGCCAACTTCATTCCCTTCATTATCAACTTTACCAACCTTTACCTTATCAATATTTACAGGCTTAACATCAATAACAGGTTCACCTAGACTTCCAGCACCATCCAAACTACCTTTAATAGTATCTTCCTCCATTCTTTCTACAACCTCGTCTACAGTTAATCCCAAAGTAGTGATTCACAAAAGATTGAATCCAAAAGTAAATAACAAAACAAGACATGAAGCTACTATACTTCATCTTTTGAATCCCAGTGTGCGTACCTGTCTACTAGTTTCCTGAGAATACAAGTTATTTTGAAAGAGTAGATCAGCATTTAAGCTGGTGAGTTCATAAGATTTTAGTGATGTAAAGTAAGTTGTAAGTTCTTTTTAGAAAAGTTCGCATGTTCCTCCAGAAGATCCTATATCTTCTAATATGATGAAAGATAAGTAAAAATGCCTCTACAATCCTTTCTATGAGTACTAAATGGATACAAGTTATATAAAACCCATAGTAAACAAACAATCGGTTGTGTGAATATGCCCTAAGCCCACAACTAAACAAGGAACAGGAAATGAGGCGGAAGGCACACATCCCATTGTTTGTTAGATCATCGTTGTATATAACCCTGGCGTATTCACTTGGTACTCACGGAGTTAACTGTAATAGTTCCTTTATATTTGATGAAAACATTCTTTAAGAAAAACCCTTATTTCCTTTAGTAAAAATGGTAACCACAATAGTTCCTTCTATAATCACTTAGTTTATACAAGCTATATATAATTTAATATCGAACTGATAGTTAATTGTGTGAATCTACCCTAAGCCCACAACCAAACAAGGAACAGGAAGTAAGGCAGAAAGCACACATCCAACTGCCTATCGGATGTTAATTATATATAACCCTGATGTATAAATTAAGGTATTATAGAATTAACCACTAACGGTCCTTTAAGTTAGACTGGTTTAATAAAATGGATTAAACCCTTATTTCCTTCAGTAAAAATAGTACCCACAATAGTTCCTTCTATAATCACTTAGTTTATACTAGCCATATATAATCTAATATCAAACAGATAGTTAATTTGTGTGATTCTGCCCTAAGCCCACAACCAAACAAGGAACAGGAAGTAAGGTGGAAAGCACATATCCAACTACCTATCGGATATTAATTAGATATAACCCTCATATATAAACTAAGGTATTATAGAATTAACCACTTAAGGTCCTTTAAGTTATACTGGTTTAATAAAAATGGATTAAACCTTTTTACTGGTAAGTTTCTAATTTTGTCTACCAAATGTTCTACTTGAAAAGTATGTTTTTGTACTAGAAAATGGTGTATTGAATTAGTGTGCCATGACCTGACCCATACCTGGTACTCCTTATGATTACTTAGTGTATACGAAATATATATATAGCTAAGATCGGAAAGATAGTAGACTGGGTGAATCTGCTCTAAGCCCACAACCAAACAAGGAACATGAAATGAAGCGGAAAGCACACATCCTACTACCTGTCGGATCCGATTAATATATATCCCTGATGTATAAACTAAGGAATCATAAAGTTAGCATTATAGGCCCCTTTCTAAGTGAATGTACTAAGACTCGACTGTACTGTTTGTGTTTTGTAATAATAAAAGTATACAGTAGTATTTTAAAGTTACTACTGAAGTACTGACTACCTTAAAACAAATTCGTATTATTAAGGTCAAAAATGTGATGTGGTTGTAACCATACTAATAACGCTCTCCCTCCAGGAGATTCTGGTTACAAAACACGACTTAACAAACAAATTGCTAAGCCGTGAAGTAGTCTCACATTTAATGTTATCTTGTTCTCGTTATAGTATGTTCCTTCTGTTCTAGTGTATAGTATGTTCCTCCCTGTTTCTCTTTATAGTATGTACTGAACCCCTAAACTATACCTATTATAGTTTACTAGTATGATTACTTGAACTGATACTGACTTGAATAAAAGACTCATTTATCTACTGAGTTATGATTGTACTTTAAAAACAGTGTTTTATAAACAATAAAGTAACATAACATAAAAAGAGTTTTTGAAATGGTTTTGATCACTTATAAAGCATAAGAAATCCTTTGAATATGATAGTTATCACAAATAACATTTACACAATTATCATTGTGTTCAACTTGTATTCCCCCCTTAAAAGCATTTAAAACATTTAAAAGATTGATTATGGGGGTATGAACTCACCTTATGTGGGTGATTCAATCGAATATGCGCGTAAGGATGAGAAGTTCCACAAATGAATTCCCGAGACACAAACGAGTCCTAAATGACACATAATGGCATATATATTGGCAAGTAATTAGTGTTTTAAACAACTAACATGCAAGGAAGCACCCTTCAGTACTAGGAAACACTTGGACTAAGTGTTATAATCACATGTGATTGATCAAAGGGGGTTTAAGGCCACAACATGGAGTGTACGGCCATGGAGTGTACGGCCATACACTCATGGAAAACATGCATAAGGAAGGGTGTTTGATCCATTAGGAAGCTAGTGTGACAAATGCAAAACCAAAGGATGAAGAAGGCTTTCATTTTGGAGGGTTTTTGAGGTGTGTACGGCCACACCAAGTGTGTACGGTCGTACACCCTCTAAGATGGATGCATTTTTGGGTCTTAAATCAAAGGGGTTCAAGGGTTCAAGAGTGCTAAGGGGTACCAAGTGACTAGCAAGTGTTCTAAGCCTTAGATTATGGTCTTAACAAGGGTGTACGACCATAGATAGAGTGTACGGCCGTACACTCTTGATGTTCTTGAGTTTTGAAGATGTTTCATGGATGAAATCATGAATCCTTACTAGATATAGCAATGAATCAACTAACAATGGAAGAATACTTACTTTCCTTGAAGATATAGGTGAAAAAAGCTTGATGATAGTTGAGAGAGAATTTGAGTTCTTGACTTGGAAGTTGAAGAAATGAATAAAAATGAAGGGATGGCTTATATATGGGGTGAGTTCACGGCCACCATGGGTGTACGGCCATAGACCCATGTGTACGGCCGTACACTCCTCTTGAAGGAGTGTTTGGCCCGAATGCAACACTACGAACTTAAGATAACTCATCCCTAAACCCAAAACTTGAATGTGCTATGCTCGGAGCACTCAAACAGACCCTAAACAATGCTAAAAGGTAACAGAAATTGGTCTGGCTCTCGATTGATTGGTTGGACAAAACAAAATTTTTTGGGTTGTCACAATACTATTAGCAGCTTCAAATGCCAAATTCTTAGCCTGATTCCAATGGCTAACACTACTATTCATCCATTTCCCATTATACCCCTTCCAATATCTACCCTTTTTCCTCCATTACCTCTATTAACATTCCCTTTACTAGTATTCCCATAATTCACATGGATGTTCTGAACATGTTTATTCCCACCATTACCTTTCATCCCACTAGTGCTTGCTGAATTAACTCCACCATTGCCACCTTTCTTTATCACTTCAATAAACCCCTCATCATCCATAACTCCTTTCCCTTTAGATCTTTTATTATTCTCTTTCTCATTCAATTCCTTTTCAATCTTCCTTTCACTCATAGCAGCCATACAAATCTTCTCAATGTGTCCATATACTTTACAGTGTGAACATCTCGAAGGATACCAAGCATATTCAACATTAAATTCCTGAGTAACGGCACAATTCAATACAAAGACCCAAGTTGTCACCTCTATACTCTTTTTCCATTCCCTTTCAGCTGACCTTTCAACAAGAATTCTAGCATAAGCATTCCTGCCTTTATGTTCAAGACACATTTCCTCTGTATAAGAATCAAAAGCCAAAGGAATTCCCAATTTACTAGTAATAATACATAGATTCTCTCCACTCCACACCTCCAGTGGTAGATCATAAATCTTAATCCACACTGGAACCTTGTTGTGGTTGTTTTTAGTAAGCTTAAGACTCTCCACCTCTGCAGAAAAATAGGAATGTTGTTAAACATTAACCACGGGCTACCCTCCAAAATAGCTTGCATCCCTTGCTCACTAGAAAATTTAAAAAATATAAATCCCTTGTTGTTCATGAACATATCCTCCAATCCCACATTCTTCTACATACGATTTAACTCCTTTTGAATAACAAGAAATGCAATATTCTTATCTATCAAATAACCATACAGAGTATTGGAATATGGAATATTAGCTTTTTTCAGATTCTCAATTGGAATAACAGCATGCCCATCCTCCTTCCCATCCCCTATCTGTATATACTTGACTTCAATCTTCCCTTTATGCATAACACCTCTTAAAGCACCAGCATATGGCATTTCTTTGTTTCTTCTTCCCATTATTTTCAATTTCAGCATTACCCTTCCCTTTCTAGCAGTACCCAACAAGGATGGTTCCAAATTAATGCTATTAATAACAGTTCCCACCTTACTTATGTCCTTATTTAGACCTGCATCAACATTCTTATCACCAATTTCGTTTTCAGACTCTGATACACCTTCCTTAGTATTTATCAGATTCCCATTTTCATCCCAATACACATTAGAACCATTACTAACATCCTCCCCATTACCCATAATTACTTCATCAGATTCAATCTTATTTTCCTTCTCCTCTTGATTCTGATTTATGTCTTTTAAGAAAGAGAATCCCACTCCATGTATTAAATTCCTCAAAAGCAGTATTGCTCTTCATCTTATCCATCACACTTCCATCATTAGATCCTATTTCCACTTTACTAATTCTAGTAGTTTCATCATGACAATCAACACTACCAAATGATTTATTACCAATAACATCACTAACAACAATTGAAGGATTAACAGACCTCATCTGACTAGTAATGTGTTTCAAATCAACATTCGAACTTAATATCTCTTCACCACTCATAGAACCACCCCAATTATTAGATAGGGAAGCAGTATTACCTGTAGGGATTTGAACATCGGGAACAACTAAAGCTCTACTCCTAGAATGAATTTGATCATCATTTGAGTACACCACCTTAATCGGATCATTTCCAGTGCTCAAATGAAAGCTCGAATCGGATTCCCATACCCATTCACTCCCAGATTCAGTGTCCGACCCTTCTTTAGTCTCAACATTATCATAATACTCTTCTGTTTCCAGTGGAGCACTACGATTAAGATCATTCCTACCCCGATTCTTCATACTACGAACCATTCCTACCATTTTCCACTTAACTTTCCCAATTCCTGTGGCAACCGCTCCAGTCGCATTAGGTTTACGACGAGCCCGATAAATTGTAGCTGAGGTCTGCTACACAACCCCAGGAGGAACCATTTCATTCACATCTACTTCAGTTCTAACATATCGAATCGCAACACTCTTATCCAAAGGCTTCACCTTAACGTCCTTCAAACGATCCTGCTTAGAAGAAGCACCCATCGCAACAACGGAAATTGATGAGACGATTCTTCAACACTGAGATGAAAAAGCTCACCGGTCAAGAAGAAACGATGAAATCAAGCCAAAAACGCACCGTCGATCAGAGAGAATTGTAGAGAGAGAAAAAGTAGAGAGAAAGCGTTTTTGGGTCACTGGTGATGTTCGATGCGTGGTACTTTCTTATTGTGTCATGGTAAGACCCATGACATATGGGTCATTGGTGATGTTCATTGTGTGGTACTTGCGTATTGTGTCATGGTAAGACCCATGGATGACATATGGGTAATTGGTGATGTTTAATGGGTGGTACTTGCTTATATTGTCATGGTAAGACTAATGGATCCCACATGGGTCAATGCGGATGTTTATTGGGTGGTAGTTTCTTATAGTGTCATGGTAAGACCCATGGATGGCATATGGTCCATTAGTGATGTTCATTGGGTGGTAGTTGCTTATAGTGTCATGATAAGACCAATGGATGCCATATGGGGTCACCAGTGATGTTCATTGTGTGGTAGTTGCTTATAGTGTCATGGTATGACCAATGGACGCCATATGGGTCATTGGTGATGTTCAAGTGGTGGTAGTTGCATATAGTGTCATGGTATGACCAAGGGATGTTGTATGGGTCATCGGTGATGTCCATTGGGTGGTAGTTGCTTATAGTGTCATGGCTAGACGCATAGATGACATATGGGTCATTGGTGATGTTTATTGGGTGGTACATGCATACAGTTACATGGTAAGACCCATGGATGACATATGGGTCATTGGTGATGTTCATTGGGATGTATTTGCTTATAGTGTCATGGTAAGTCCCATTGATGAGATATGGGTAATTGGTGAAGTTCATTGGGTGGTAGTTTCTTATAGTGTCATGGTAAGACCAATGGATTCCATATGGGTTTTTAGTGATCTTCATTGGGTGGTAGTTGCTTATAGTGTCATGGTAAGACCAATGGATGTCATATGGCTCATTGTTGCTTTTCATTGGGTGGTAGTTGCTTATAGTGTCATGGTAAGACCCATGACATATGGGTCACTGGTGATGTTCATTGTGTTGTACTTGCTTAAAGTGTCATGGTAGACCCATGGATGACATATGGGTCTTTGTTGATGTTCATTGGATAGTGCATGCTTATAGTGACGTAAGAACAATGGAACCCATATGGGTCATTGGTAATGTTCATTGGGTGATAGTTTCTTATAGTGTCATGGTAAGACCAATGGATGCGATATAGGTCATTGGTGATGTTAATAAGGTGGTAGTTGCTTATAGTGTCATGGTAAGACCAATGTCATATAGGTCATCAGTGATGTTCATTGGGTGGTATGTGCGTAGTGTATTATGGTATGACCCATGGATGACATATGGGTCATTTGTGATGTTCATTGGGTGGTACTTGCTTATAGTGTCATGATAAGACCAGTGGATGCGATATGGTTCATTGGTGATGTACATTGTGTATAGTTGCTTATAATGTCTAGGTTAGACCAATGGATGCCATATTTGGTGATGCTTATTGGGTGGTAGTTGCTTATAGTGTCATGGTAAGACCCATGACATATGGGTGATTTGTGATGTTCATTAGGTGGTACTTGCGTATAGTGTCATGTTAAGACCCATGGATGACATATGGGTCATTGGTGATGTTCAAATTATGGTACTTGCATATAGTGCATCGTAATACAAATGGATCCTATATTGGTCAATAGGAATGTTCATTAGGTGGTAGTTTCTTATAGTGTCATGGTATGAACCATGGATGACATATGATTCACTGGTGATGTTCATTGGGTGGTAGTTGCTTATCGCATCACGGTAAGACCAATGGATTCCAAATGGGTCACTAATGATGTTCAATGGGTGGTAGTTGCTTATAGTGTCATGGTACGACCAATGGACGTCATATGGGTCACTGGTGTTGTTAATTGGATGGTAGTTGCTTATAGTGTCGTGGAATGACCAATGGATGTTGTCTGGGTCATTGGTGATGTGCATTGGGTGATAGTTGCTTATAATGTCATGGTTAGACCCATGGATTACATATGGGTCATTGGTAATGTTCATTCGGCGGTACTTGCTTATAGTTACATGGTAAGACCCATGTTGACATATGGGTCATTGGTGATGTTCATTGGGTGGTACTTGCTTATAGTGTCATGCTAAGACCCATGGATGACATATGGGTCATTTGTGATGTTCATTGGGAGGTAATTGCTTATAGTGTCACGGTAAGTCCCTTTGATGAGATATGGGTCATTGGTGATGTTCATTAGGTTGTAGTTTCTTATAGTGTCATGGTAAGACCAATGGATTCCATTTGGGTCATTGGTGATATTCATTGGGTTGTAGTCGCTTATAGTGTAATGGTAAGACAAATGGACGCCATATGGGTCATTGGTGATGTTCTTTGGGTGGTGAGGTAATACCAATGTATGCTATAGGGGCCCTTGGTGATGTTCATTGGGTGGTAGTTGCTAATAGTGTCATTGTAAGCCCATGACTTATGGGTCATTGGTGAAATTTTTTAATGGGTGGAACTTATGTATAGTGTCATTGTAAGACCCATGGATAACATATGGTCATTAGTGATGTTCATTGGGTGCTACTTGCTTATAGTGTCATGGTAAGACGAGTGGATGCCATATGGTTCATTGGTGATGTTCATTGGGTGGTAGTTGCTTATAGTGTCCTGGTAAGACCAATGGATGCCATATGGGTCATTGGTGATGTTAATTGGGTAGTAGTTGCTTATAGTTTCATGGTAAGACCCATGACATATGGGTCATCGGTGATGTTCATTGGGTGTACATGTGTATAGTATCATGGTGAGACTCATGGATGACATATGGGTCATTAGTGATGTTCATCAGGTGGTACTTCCTTATAGTGTTGTGGTAAGACCAATGGATGCCATATGGGTCATTGGTGATGTTGATTGGATGTTTGTTGTTTATGTTGACATGGTAAGACCAATGGATGTTGTATTGGTCATTGGTGATGCTCATTGGGTGGTAGTTGCTTACAGTGTCATGGTAAGACCCATGACATATGGGTCATTGTTGATTTTCAATAGGTGGTGCTTGCTTGTAGTGACATGGTAAGACTAATGGATGCTATACGGGCCAAATGGGATGTTCATTATGTGGTAGTTTCTATATGGTTCTTTGGGGATGTTCACTGGGTGGTAGTTGCTTATAGTGTCATGGTAAGACCAATGGATGCCATATTGGTCACTGGTGTTATTAATTGGATAGTAGTTGCTTATAGTGTCATGGAATGACCAATGAATGTCGTATGGGTCATTGGTGATGTGCATTGGGTGGTAGTTGCTTATATTGTCATAGAAAGACCCATGGATTACATATGGTTCATTGGTGATATTCATCCGGCGGTACTTGCTTATAGTTGTTACATGGTAAGACCCATGTATGATATATGGGTCATTGGTGATGTTCATTGGGTGGTACTTGCTTATAGTGTCATGGTAAGACCCATGGATGACATATGGGTCATTGGTGTTGTTCATTGGGTGGTAATTGCTTATAGTGTCACGGTAAGTCCCATTGATGAGATATGGGTCATTGGTGATGTTCATTGGGTTGTAGTTTCTTATAGTGTCATGGTAAGACCAATGGATTCCATTTGGGTCATTGGTGACATTCATTTGGTTGTTGTTGCTTATAGTGTAATGGTAAGACCAATGGATGCCATATGGGTCCTTGGTGATGTTGTTTGGGTGCTGAGGTAATACCAATGGATGCTATATGGGTCATTGTTGATGTTCATTGGGTGGAAGTTGCTAATAGTGTCATGGTAAGACCCATGACATATGGGTCCTTAGTGATATATGTTCATTGGGTGGAACTTGTGTATAGTGTCATGATAAGACCCATGGATGCCATATGGTCATTAGCAATGTTTATTGGGTGCTACTTGCTTATAGTGTCATGGTAAGACCAGTGGATGCCATATGGGTCATTGGTGATGTTCATTGGGTGGTAGTTGCTTATAGTGTCATGGTAAGACCAATGGATGCCATATAGGTCATTGGTGATGTTAATTGGGTGGTAGTTGCTTATAGTTTCATGGTAAGACCCATGACATATGGCTCATCGATGATATTCATTGGGTGGTACATGCGTATAGTATCATGGTAAGACC